GGCTTCAGGGAAGTGGGGTTGGGATCCCTTCCCTTCAAGAGGCAGGCGGCTCTGGGGGTTGGGGGGCCTCACTGACTGAGACCCACCACCTCTTCTACTGGCCTTGGGGAACTTTGCACAAGGAGACATCCCCTAGTCTACTAGCACCTACCTCATGGGCACTGGGTTGGGTGGGGGAAGGCAGGTCCGGCTCTGGCAATGTTGGGGGGGACATACCAAAGAATCCAGGGGCAGGGGTTGGGGGAGGGCAGACACAGCAAGCTGGCCCTCTCCTTCCTCCACCCAGCTTGGGGTCGGGGTCCTCTCCTCCAGCTTAACCATTTCTACCTCATTTTGCTGTGTGTTGTACATGGACGTATTTATCTCTCGTCTGAAGATGCTCTGCAGTTGTGGTCTGTCTACCTCAGAAGAGACTGTATTTTAAAAGAAAGTATTACACAGTATTAAAACGATGACATGTGGTCTCCAGAGGATTTCTTGGGGGGTAGCAAGGTGTGGGGGGCCCTCTGGGGACTGCGTGGGCATCCAGGCCTGTCCGTGCCCTTGGTGTGGTGCTGTGGGTGTTACTATTCCTTGAGCACAACATTTTGTGGAACCCCTGCTAGTCAATCTGGCACGGGCAGTGCCCACCAGGCACTGGGCCCTGAGGCCACCAGGTGAAAGGCCATACTCTCAGGCTCCAAAAAGCCCCTGGGGAGGGAAAGCTCCCATGGAATTCTGAGCTCTCAGAGGCTCAGAATTGGGCCAGACTCGTATCCCCAGAGCTCTGAAGTGTGGGGGGCCAAGAAAGGCTTACATGTTTGTTGAATGAGTGAATGAAGGAATACATGAGTGCGTGGAGGGAAAGTGGGCAGAGGGCAGAGCTAGCTGAATTCTAGTCTTAAGGTCCCAAGGTCCTTTATCCGCCACCATTTGTCAATCCCCAAACTATCTTCGACCAAACTCAGCATAAACCGGGAGACTGATGAAACCAGGAAGGAGCATGTTGCTGACAAAACTGTGGAGATACCCGTGAGGTTTGTATTCACAGCTTCCTTGACAAATGCTCTAAAATTGCTGAAAATGCACCAGAGTCCAAGGGGAGTAGTGCCCCCAGGGCTCAGTGCTTGGTATATACACCAGGCTTTCAGGAGACAAAGCAAATGGTTCTCCCCACTGAGAGAAACATCTGGGGGTGTGAAAACTCAGCATAAACCGGGAGACTGATGAAACTAGGAAGGAGCATGTTGCTGACAAAACTGTGTGGAGATACCCGCGAGGTTTGGATTCACAGCTTCCTTGACAAATGCTCTAAAATTGCTGAAAATGCACCAGAGTCCAAGGGGAGTAGTGCCCCCAGGGCTCAGTGCTTGGTACATACACCAGGCTTTCAGGAGACAAAGCAAATGGTTCTCCCCACTGAGAGAAACATCTGGGGGTGTGCCTGGGCATGAGGGCTCCAGGGCATTGCCCCAGGGTTCAGTGACCCCAACTCTCCGGCCTTGGATGTCCAGACCCCCCTTGTACTCTAGTTGGTTTATTATACACCTGCTGTATGCATGGCACTGAGAATATAGAAATGATTAAGCACAACCACGGTTCTGAAGAGCCCACAGTATAGGGTAGGGAAAGCTGAAAAATGGATCCTTTGAAAACACAGCTGCATAGAGCTGCTTGAGGAGGGGCCATATCAGAATTTTTATTCTCACATCTGGCACAGTATTTGGTACATGGAAGACAATGAATAAATCCTTGAATTAATTAATTTTCAGATAAGTGTCTTGATGTAGGATGCACAGTTATCTCAAGAATGCCCGGGCCCTAGCCAGTTTGTCTCTGGTTAGAGAGTCAGCCCACACACTGAACGGTCTCAGGTTCGATTCTGGTCAAGGGTATGTCCCTCGGTTGAAGGCCTGATCCCTGGCCCCACTAGGGATGTGTGCGGGAGGCAACCAACCGATGTGTCTTTGTCACATCGATGTTTCTCTGTGTCTCTCCCCTCCTTTCCACTCTCAAAAAATCAATGGAAAAAATATCCTCTGGTGAGGATTAACAAAACAAACAAAAAAGAATGCCCAGAAAAGACCCTGACTCACAGTGGTGGTGGTGGGGTATCGGAAAAACTTCCTGGACAGGACCGGGTACAGCAACAAAGCTACGGAGGCTGGCAACTGCACCCTCCATGTGATTTGCTGTAAGAGCATGAAGTGAGGGCGGGAGTTGGGGGAAGGGAGGCTGGAGGAATCACTGGGACGGAGCCACTGCACTGGAGGACCTCACATGCCCTGGGGAGAGCCGAGGCTCCACGATGAATCTCGAATCTCGAATCTCATGTGTGTTTGGGTGGGTGGGACACAACTGATTTGAAAGTTAATTCGCACACTGATTCAGGAAATCTTTACTAAATAATGATGCACTGGTTGCTATGGGGACAGTAGATGGACTTCACAGTGGAATGGGGGAGGCAACGAAAGGGCAGAGCTGTAGGAGTGGAGAGGATGGAGTCAGGGAGGGCTTTCCAGAAGAGACCTGTCAGCGGAGGAATGGCCCAGGCAGAACTAAGAGTGCAGCCAAGATCCAAAGGCGAGCCAGAGCCACTGGCTGGGGACGGAACCGCTTAGTGAGTGGGAGCCCGGGGTGTGTGTGTGTGTGTATGTGTGTGTGTGTGTGTGTGTGTAGGGAGGTGGGGACTGGAGGAGGAGCTTGCCTCACCCAGACAAGCCTGGGTGAAGGTTTGGATGCCATGTCAGAGGATGGGAAATGACAGTCTAGAAATGTTTAGTATTTATCTGGAAAGAAGAGAATTTGGGTATTGATTGGATATCAGAGATAACGGAGAGCTAGGGGTCTAGGGCTTCTGGTGGAGGATGAGGAGGGGCAGGAAATGGGCTAGAAGAGATGCCCGGGACTTTTTAAATTTGAGGCATTAGTGGGGCAGCCCCTCCCAGTCTCAGGGGGACTGAGTCCCACCCACCAGGGGTGCCGGGAAACTCCCAATTCCTGGATTTTGTGGGTCCCTCCGTCTTAATTTCTGTGTGTTGGGAGCTGTCCTTTCAACCAGTCGCGTGTATTGAAAGCCACCTTCCAGGTCCTGGGGTGCTGGGCTCCCT